GTCCCACACACACACAGTCCCCCCACACACATACACACAGTCCCATACATACACATACACACACACATGCACACACACCCACAGTCCCACACACACACACAGTACCCCCCCACACACACAGTCCCACACATACACACACACACACACAATCGTACTTCGCATTCTTCCATCCTCTCAATACACTGTAATTCTGATTGGATCAGCATTCTGTTTGCCTCGTTATGACTTGATAAATGCTCCTCACCTCTGAGCCATAGAGCATGCTGTGATGACTCTTCCTTTCCTATAAAACGTTTTGTCTTCTCCTGGAGTTAAGAACTCTAGTATCTTAACTATAATTTTTAAAAGTTTTCTTCTTCACGGAGAAATTTCCTTCCAAAACTGTCTTTCTGCTTGTATTTGACCTAGTTGTGTGAACTGCTTTCCTCACACGTCTGTGATCCCTGACTGCTCACTCCCAGTGTAGGATGGCAGAGTCAAAGCTGACAGGAAGCTCCAGTGTATACACAAGGTGCTTGTTGACAGGGGGCTTCACGGCGTGTCGTCAGCCTAGTCTTGCTCAGTCTCTGTCTCAGGCTGATCAGATTCTAGAGAACACTCTTCTAAATTCTCCTGCTTAGAGGGTGTAAATTGGGCTGCCGGCATTTACCCCCTCTACCTAGTTGGGTTGCTTCTTGGCTTTCTCTATTGTTCGCTGCCATTATCTTTGTCCTCGTCGGTTAAAAATACCCCTTTGCTTCATTTTAGTGGGATTTGGGAAGGAAAAATGTTGATGTTCATCCATCTTCAACCAAAAGTCTTATTTTTCTCTACTAAATCATTTACTTTTGATTCTGCAACTTATATCTTAGTCATTGATCTTGTTCATAGAATCTTATCAAATCCTTCCTAAAAATCTGCATGATCTGCCAGTTTTTTTAATCTGCCATGAAAGTCATATTTTCAAAGAACCGAGACAGATGGATAATAAAGCATAACCTCTCACATCTAATTCAGAAAAATCCTTTAAAGCAGTACTCTATGTGGGCATCTTTCTTAAACTTTTAAGTGTTCTTTCCCTCTGAGATATATTAATTCACACTCACAACTTTACTTCCCAGTTTCTTGGTTTAATACAGTTTTAATTATAATTTGTAAAACATTCTAATATAAGTCAATATATTGGTAGTTTAATAAATTGTAGTAATGTATACTTTTTTAAGATTTTATTTATTTGCGAGAGAGAGAGAGTGCAAGCAGGGGGAGCAGCAGAGGGAGAGGGAGAAGCAGGCTCCCCGCTGAGCAGGGAGCCCAACGTGGGGCTCGATCTCAGGACCCTGAGATCATGACCTGAGCCGAAGGCAGCTGCTTAACCAACTGAGCCACCCAGGTGCTCCTAAATTGTAGTAATGTATTCTTTTTGCACATTGAAAATTCTTTTTTTTAATTTGGTTGATTCTCTTGCCTTCTGAATGGCCCAGTCTATACCCCCATTATTCTCCCTCCACTCTTTATTCCCACCCACACATATTCCTTTCCAGAGTAATCAAATCTGATAAGTTGTACTTCCTAGTTTCTCTGAAGAAGAAACAAAGTGAAATAGACCTGGGGTAAAATCCTGATATTTTACTTTGAAGGTAGATCCTGAAATGTTAGCACAGTGCTTAGTGTTTATAGGAATTCACTGAGTGATTTTGAAAGGGAGGAAGACACTAGGAAGGGAGGGGGGGAGGGAGGGGGGAACGGGGAAGGAAAGAAAGGAAGGGAATGATTCCTTTGAGAAACTAATTAAGCTGCTACTGAGTTTAGGCAAAGATTAAAAATGCCACCATGTAGGATATATCCACATATACTTTTTACAGGACAATGTTTATGAAAGGTCACTTACAGTAGTTACAAGTTAAAGTAATATGTGTGAACCCAGGCCTGTACCTCACGGACTAGGCCCACTGCCCATGTAAAATGGAAAGTCACTGGAGGGCCTTGAACAAAGCGCTGACATTCTCTGAGTTAGTGTTTTAAAAGGCTTACCCCGGTTGCTCTGTGGAGAATAGACCACAGCAAGGCAAGAGCAGGAGGGACAGACAAGCTAAGCTGTTGCAGTCATTCAGGTGGGACATGACAGTGATTTGGATCAGGTTGGTAGAGGTAGAAATAGTAACAAATGGGTATATTTTGACAGAAGCACTGACAATATTTAGAGATCGTGGATTGGATATGTGGTGTGCATGAGCGAGATGGGCAAAGGATGATCCAAAATCTCTTCCCCCACTGTTTGGAAGGATAAGATTGTCATTTATTAAAATAAGGAAGACTAGAGAAAAATGCAAGCTTGGTTTGAGATGCCTGTTATACATCTGGCTGAAGATGTCAAATAATTAGCTGTATATACAAGTCTCCATGCAGCTTTCTGCTTCCCCACCCTGAGGGTGGGGCTTTTGTGTTTGTGGTCACCTTATGGCCGCAAGATGGCTAACCGCCTCAATCATTACATCTCCTTCCAGAATGGGAGCAGAGGAAGTGCAATGGGGAAAAACAAAAGAGCACATGTCAGCATTTTATTTTGGCTTCTTCCAGAAGTCAAAGCCCCAAGAAACAAGGATTTGGATGCAAGTGGTTTATTTGGAAGATGAAAAATGTGCTATATTAGTTTCCTCTGACTGCTGTATAACAAACTTGGTGGCTTAAAACAACCCAAATTGATTCACTCACAGTTCTGGAGTCCAGAAGTCCAAAATCAGTATCACTAGGTCAACATCAAGGTGTCTGGAGGGCTACGGTCCATCCAGATGCTCTGGGGAAGAATCTGTTCCTTGCCTCTTACAGCTTCTGCTGGCTGCCAGCATCCCTTGGCTTCTGGCCACATGTCTCTGACCTGTCAAGCCAGCATCTTCACGTCTCTTTCTGGTTCATCTCCATATCCCTTCTCCTGTGTGTGTCACATCTCCCCCTGCCTCTTTCTTAGGGCACACCCAGATAACCTAGGCTCATCTCCCCATCTCAACATCATTAACTTATGCAGAGACTTTTCTTCTAAATGAAGTAGCATTTATTTATTTATTCCAGAGATTCAGATGTGATATCTTTGGGGTCCTTGTTTCGGCCTACCACCTATGGGACTAGGGAAATGAAATAAGGAAGGGCAAGTTATGAAACCAGCTACCACTGAGAGTGACTGGAGCGAAAGCCTAATGGGGAGACTCTGGAACCCAGTCTAAAGCACAGCCCTCAGAGTTATCCCATCCAGGGAGCAAGTGAGTATTTACACACCAGTAACTGACAATCACAGGTTGAAGATTGCTCCTGGGAGGGCTTCAATTTCCTGTTACTTCTGGCCTACCATACGGGTGGCAAAGAAGATCCCCAGTGGCAAGAGGAAGGATTCAGGCAAAGAAATGCAGGTTGTCCCCTGGAAATCAGGCTGAGTGTCCCCAAGTGGTAAGTGTGAGGGCTGGGTAGGCACCAAGGGCAACTGCTCTAGCTCTCTCTGGCTGTTTAATACCTATCACAGGCCAGATTGTGTGCATGGCCATGCCTAGCTCCAGGGGAGACTGGCCAATATGGCTGTGTTTTTAGCTGGACACATTTCCACTCTGAGTAACACTGAAGATGTCTTATGGAAGAAAGGAAGGGTGGGTGTTGGGTAGGCACCTAGCCCCGTAGGAGATAAGAATGGAATCAGACAAGTGATAAAGATGACTCAGACCAAGGTCTTATCACTGGATAGGGTGAGAAGTGATCAGAATTTAGGACATTTATTGGAGGCAGTGCCAATAGACCTGGTGTTCTGGAGTTTGAGGGAAACACAAATCTCAGATCGTGAGGGTTTTGATCTTGAGCCACTATAGCAGTGGGGCCAATTAAAGAGATAGGGTGGACTGGAGTGGGAGCAGGTCCATGGTGTGGGGAGTCAAGTGCTGTTTTGAATCTGAGAATTTTGAGATGCCTATAGACATCCTGTGGGGATGTCGGTGTTGAATGGTAGTTGGATATAGAAGTCTGGAGCTCAGAACTCAGGCTGCAGAGAGAGACTTGGAAGTTAGAAGAAAACAAGCGGGCATTAGAAGGTTCATTTCCAACATTCAGGAAACAGCATATTTTCTGTTTTCCTAATATTGGAAAAACAGATTTTATCAATGTTTACCTAATTCTTTGCTGTTGGGATCCAGTGAAATAGCTGGCTCTAGTTTTGAAGAGAACAGGGGTTAAATGGCTATCCTCATTTGTGCTAATACTGCAGTCTTTCAGCAAAGAGACCTTTTAGCAAGAGGGAATTTTAATTGTCCTAGAGATTGGCTTATAGAATCCAAGCTAACGCATATGTAGTTTATTATTAATTATACCGTGGTTCTCTGTATTAATTTGAAATAATATTTCAGATATAGAAGTTTATGGGGAAAGTGAAGTTACCTTTATTTCTAGATAATTATAAAAATCACCTGAAGAAAGGGTTGGTGCTTGCTAATATTTCAACTGTCTTCTTACATCATTCAGTCTGTGAACCAAGATGTTACTCAGAAGAGGAATAGTCATTATAGAAAAAGTTTTAAGAAAAAGTTTATCTGTAATATAGGTATTTAAAAGAATGGAGCACTGGGTGTTATATGCAAACAGTGAATCATGGAACACTACATCAAAAACTAGTGATGTGAAGTATGGTGATTAACGTAACATAATACAATTTAAAAAAATGTAAAAAAAAAAAGATCCTCCATTCTTTTTAGAACATAAAAATTGTGAGATTTTAAATTTGTATGTACCTAGAATTCTGGTAAAACATTGATAGGGACTTGGAAGCTATCACATTGCATTTTATTTCTATAAATGTCTTTCTTTGATGATTTTGATGAAGGCTCTAGAATAAGGCCTTGATAAGTACATGTAAGCATGCTTTTTGGGAATGGTGGGATTTATACTCCTCCACATCCCAACATTAAGCTTATTATAGATGAGTGAGCAGAATGGACTGAGTATGAGCCACCATCTCAAATAAGCAGTAAAAATAGGCATTGTAAGGCTGCTAAGTCAGCACACATTAATGAGGACAGTAAATAGCCTTTTTTGGACAATGAGAAAAATGCTTGAGAAAAGCTATTTTTAGCTATAATTTGGTAACTAATTTTGAATGAGGGCAACAGTGAAATTATGACCGAGGAGTCATAAAGTAGTAAGCCTTTCCCCTTTACTGTCTTAGGGGGAGCAGGCTGACATCACAGACATGTCTAAGAAATTGGGTTCTGGGGCATCTGGAGTCTCTCCTATTTGGTTCTATTTAAGTTTCTGGTGTGGTACAGTATTTGATATACAGAATAGGGTCTATGAGCCACCACAAAAAAGTTAAATTATATTGGTATAACTAAATATATAGTAATATAACTAAGACAAATAATATGTTGCTACGTTTTAGAATGAGTTTCATTAAAATATTTTGGAAAAGTTAAGACCTAATATGACGGCTCATATTGCCCATTGACCTTTTGGAAACTCGTTTTCTTAGTCTTCCATGTTGCGTGACAGTCTTCTCTTTCTCCTCAGCCTATGCTTTCCTTTCTCAATCCCTCCGCTTCCTCCATGATGACTTCCATATTTGTTTTTCGAACCCCCTCTTCTCTCTCTCAAGCTCAAGATCCATTTCTATTCTGACATCTTTTATGTCCCCAAATGAACTCACTTTGTTTTTTACAGACCTCTTTCTCCATTTCTATTTTCCAGGTTGATGATGGGGAGGCTGCCCCTACATCCCCCTTGGCCCAGGACAATCACTGCTTTATACCTTTGTCCTGGCATAATTATCATTAGGGCCCCTTCAACTTCCAAAATTGTCCTGGTTTGGATAATTGATCACATGGTCACCATGGCCGTCTGTCTGATGAAGGTCTGCCCTTGTAAGAACCAGCCTGTAAGCCCATATATAAAAGGACTTTGGAGTAACGTACATGTCCATGTACCTTACTCCAGCTCTTTTTACTCTGAATGACTCTCTATTTTCCATTCTCCTGTCCCCCCAACACACTGACCACCACTACCGCCATTTATCCATTAGCTTTGTATTTTGCTCTCTTCATGTATTTTGACTCTAGGCTCCTCAGATTTGTACATCACCCTGCAAGTCTCAGTGTGCCCCCTTCCTTCTGGTTTGAGACCTCTCTCCTGACCCCACAATCCTTCTCTTAGGAATTGCCCCCGGGGATAAACCCAGTAATCAGGGCCTGGGTTTGTATGTCTTAAGTAGTGTATCAGACACAATCCACCCAGTCCCTAAAGCTGGAAGACTTAGAGGACTTTTTTCCTTTTTAGTGCCTCCATCAACTTTTCTAAAATTGGAAAAATAAGATCTACTTTACAGGATGTTGTGAGGATCCATAAGAGGAAGAACAGGAAGGTAATTAGCATAGTGTTAGTCAGCGTTTGACTAAAGGAAGAAATGAAAATATGAATAATGTTAGTGCCCAGCTCTGTGAAGAAGGCTAAACTAAGCCTTTTGTATTTCATTTTAAAGTTCATTAGATTTAGGAGCAAATACTGATGCTGTGGAGACCAACTGCTCTTAATTATCTCTGAAAAACTGAAGAAGGGAAGATATACTAGAAGATTAGACTACTGAATTTCAAAAGGAATATTAAATTTGACAGAAAGCTGAGTTGGATGTAAATCTGAGTTGGACCAAGTCTTTGGGAAGACTCTGGAAGGGATTCTGGGTGGTTTGTGAACCCAGGACTCAGCATGGATGCATACTAGATCAGCTTTGGCTCACGGGGCTGATATGCTGGTGCATGAGGGAGCATATAGATAGAATCTTCCTTGGGTTTTGCCGTCATATTTTACAGGGCTTTTTGTGACATTCTTATGGGGGGAAAAAAAAGAGAAAAGATTGTAAATTTAATTAAGTGGATTAGAAACTGATTATAGGAAAAGAAATTATCACCAGATCCCTGTCACTCTGAAGGGCTTGATAGTGGAATGCCATAGAGCTCTGTCTTCCATCCTGTCTTGTGTGACATTTTACAGTCACTTGTAGGGGAAAAAAAAAAAATATATTTATATATGAAACAAGTAATGCTTATCAGATCTGTAGCTGACACAAAACTGAGAGGTATAGTGAATATATTTTCTGACAGAAACAGGATCCCGAAACATAAGCTCCTTGAGGAAGGCTTCAAGTTTGTATTCAGTACCTTTCCTTTCTAGTCCCCAAAATGCTGCATGTATTCATTAGTCTCGTACTGTACCTGCCTTGCAAGTGTCTCTATGCATAGGTCATGTGTCTCTGTCTTCCCACTTCCTCACACAGTGGGCAGCAGTCGCTGAATGAATGTTTGCTTCATTAAAGAACCAGTGATGACCACACACATTGAGAGGCTGAATCTATCACTCTGAAATGTAATGAGGATAAATATAAAGCTCTGCCCTTAGAGCACCGCCCCCCCCTCCAAGATGAAACAAGCACAAGATAGTGGCTTTGTTTGTAGCATGCATGAAAAAGGTGTTAGGGCAAGAATAAAATCACCTTCAAATGGTATCATATACCGCTTTGCCCTTCCCCTTCCCAAATTCAAAGCTAAGGTGATCTTCATCAGCTCGAATAAAAATACATAGCACCTGCAACAAAGGATGTGAGAGTCCCTGTCTAAACTGGTTAGACCATACCTGGGGTCTTCTGTTAAAGTTCTGAATGGTACATTTCAAGGAGGAAATCAACATAGGAACTTGTTCGGTGGAGAGCCACCAGGATTAGGAAGGGTCTGAAAATCTTACCATAGTCATTCACTTTTTCATTCATGCAACAAATGGTATGTTAAGCATCTAGTATTTTCCAGGCAGTAAACTAGACGGTGAGTGGTGGAGGAAAAAGAAATCTCCATGAGCAACTGGAGGAAATAAAGATACTTGTGGAAATAAAGACCACCCAAATGACAACAAATGAAGCCTATTTATTCAAAGCTTGCTATAGCAAGGGAGTCAGCAACCATCACTTACATGTGACAGAGGCTCGAAGGCCGGGTGGGAAAGTTTTACAGTAAACAAAAGAGAAGGCTTTGGGTATGCTTTCATTGGATGGAGGCTGTTACTGGGAAGCCGGACACAGGATTAGTAGAAGCGGGGCATCCCATGTGATTAGTCTAGGGAGCGTAATCGGCTTTCTCCAGTTAGTCCTGAGTTGGAAGTGGGGGCAAAAATTAAGGAAGCTATCAGTCATTGACTGAGTCCTGACCATTCTAGGACTGTTGCTATAGAGGTTGTGGGTAAGAGTCTGTTATCATATGTTCTGGCCATTGTCTGTTTGAATGTTCAGTATCTACTATTGAACACTGAGAAAACTTGGAAGAATCTGGGATGACTGATAACTGTATTTGACATTGATAACTGTATTCAAGTACTTTAAGGTCTACCGTGTTGAAAAGGCATTTATTTTGCATGGTCCCAATGGATCAGATTAGAACTAGTGGGTGAAAAACACTTCAAAATAAGAAAGAACTTCTAAAACTCACTGCTATCTAGATACAATCTCAGACAGTGTTTACCTGGTAAAGGAGAAATTCAGACCTAGGCTGGGTGACCTCTTGGCAGTGATATTGTGAAACAGATCACAAGCCTTGGCATGCACCAGAATCACTTGATATCTTTGTTGGCGATGCAGAATGGCCTCTGTCCTAGACCTGCTGAATCTGATCAGTGGGGCATCAGAGATGATTCTCTTATGAAACGTTGTGAAAGACATGCAAACACTGGATGGGTAGCTGGACAATGTGACTTGTAAAAGTTCTTCCACCCTGAGTCTAATATCCTAATTTTTGCATGACATAGTCATAATCAGTAAAGAAACCATTTGCTCTTTTATTTAACAATATTGATTGAGTAGCTTCCATTATGTTGCACTCTACTTTCAGCCTATATTTTAATTCCATTAGCATGGTGCGTTCCTACTTGCTGAGGAGATAATGATGAAAAGAGCTCATTTGTTCATTTTTCAAAAATTTATTGAGCATCTGCTATGTGCTGGAGCACTGTGCTGAGCTCCAGGGAGATGGTGATGAAAAGGCCCGATATAATCCTTTTTCTTTCAGAGCTTACAATAGCAGAAAAAATAGAATATATTTATAGCAAAGGTGATACATGTTGTTATGAAAAGAAAATGGTGTGAAAACGATTCTTTTTGTTCTGCTGTTTTTCCCCACATCCTAACTCCAATTAAAATTCGATCAACTTATTTACAGAGGAATTAGTACTTCCTTTCCTCAGGTTTGTTTTAAGTTTTAAGTAAAAATGGAGAGCCTTTGGGCCTTAGTCCAGGAATGCTAGAAGTCTTCAGAATGGCACTTTGTACTTAAAAGCTCTCTGCTGTCAGAACTGGTGAGTCCACTGGTGAATAAACCGATCAAAGGGACATCCTTCGTTCAGGTTGACTGGGCATTTTAGAAAGTGATTCTGGAAAATCTGAGTTCTTTGGATTCTAATACCTCTTCCTAACCCTATTGCAATGGAGCTAATTTATGTTATATTTTTCAAGCGAGTTCTTATTCAAAACATCATGTCTTTTGCTGTGTGGTACACAGAAAGGAGCTAAGGATGGGAAGCAGCTGCCTAGGATCTAGACCTGGGTGTCCCACTAATTACTGTGTGACCTTGACCTCTCTGGGCCTGAGGTTTTTCAGAATGCTAAATGATCCTTAATTACCTCTAAAATTCTGATTGGGTGAAACTAAATGGAGAAGATATCATTTCTCACCTGCCTTTTCCTCCTGCCTTCCTCCCACCTACACAAATATATTAGAAGCCCTGTCACCACCATTGAATGGATACTGAAATAACTCGCTTTCTAATCTGGACATGTATGTGTTCCTTAGGCTGAAATCTGAGGCTTCAACATCTGCCTGCATGTCCAGTTTGAATAACTGGACTTAGTCCAGGCCCCTGTGGAATACGTCAGCTTCTTTGATGGAGAACCCTGCCCTGGGAGCACCCCACAATCTGTCCTCACAGCTAGCATGTCTATAAATCTAGCTATTACCAAAGGTTTTGTTTCAATTATAAATAGACCCTCTGAGACCCAAGATATTGCCCCTTATCCAACTAATAGTATCCCCATTATCTAAAGACTTACAGTATTCTGCCCACACCTGCCTGATCAGATTCCTTCCAAAGGGATACCAGCCAGATGGCGCTAAGTTCCCCTCCTGGAGGAGGGGCACTGTCGCCCAGCTAGTACCCTTGAATCAGGTCCTTCCTAGCCTGGGGTTGCTCTTCTATCCCTGATAGGCACGGTTTGAGTCCCAGTTTGCCTGCCATCAAACTTATTCAAGCTATGACAGACATAGGTACATGTACATTTACACAGAGCATTGAACCATTTTTCATAATTCCAATTTTCCATAGAATCAGCCCACTCTAAAATTGTTATTTTATTTATTTTTTTTTAGCTAACTTTCTTTATTGCCACCTTGTTTCTGACATAATCTGCACATGTGTTTTCATTTTAGGACTTCCTTGTCTAAGTCAAAACTTCTGGCTCTGGGAGACCCATGCGCTACCACCTACACTAAGAAGAGAATAGAAGCAGGGGCTTTATCAGTATATTGCATTATATTATGACAGCAACTATACTTTAGACAATGTCATTTTAAAACATTTAATGTATAGTCACTGTTTACTCTGAAATTAGCTTTTAGGTTTAGTGTAAAATTTAACCTCTGGCTTTCAAACTTCTTCTTATTTAAGTAATTAAGGAATTTGAGGGGAAATAATTTGAGGAAATTTTTTGAGGAAATAATGATCACGCTATTCAGAGCAACGGAATCATTTTCTTGTCATATTTCACTCTTTTAAAATGTGTTTCACTTTTTGACCATTGGCAGAGCTTCTCCTTGTGAGGCCGAACTTCAGGAATTAATGGAACAAATTGACATCATGGTAAGCAACAAAAAATTGGATTGGGAAAGGAAAATGCGGGCTTTGGAGACACGATTAGATCTTCGGGATCAAGAGTTGGCAAATGCACAAACTTGCTTGGATCAGAAAGGTCAAGAGGTACTGAATATATGTGTTAATTGTTAATTCCTCAGACAGTTATAAATAATATTCTACCAGGATATGTTTTTCATTATGTATACTTTTTATCAGGCATCAGCGGTAGCCTTTATTGCTTGGAATTCTGTCATAGTGTGCTAAATGTCTTCTATCAAATAAGTGATGATTGGAGCCTCAACCCATCACAATTTGCTGACGCAGACAAACACAACGTGTCAATGCAATCTAGAAAAGTAAACAGACATTCAATATATATGTGAAATAAATATGGTTTGCAAACAAAGATATCAGTGCTTTTGCAGCTGTAGAAACAAAGTAGTTGTCCAAACCGTGTCTTTGGAAATGGCTGAGTTCAAGCGCCTCTTCGAATCTACTAGGAGAATATTTCCTGAAAGAAGTGAAATGTCAAGATGTGATTGCGGGACAGGGGAGAAAAGAGTTTGGTGAAGGGGTGTGTTTATATGTGGGCACCCTCCTAAGAGGAGTGCCCCCAGCCCCTGCAAGATTGCTTACAGCTCGTCAGTGACTAGAATGTACGCGTGCTCTCAGGCTTCCAGAGGAGTTCCAGAAAACCACATAGTTGACCTAATGCAGACTTCTGTCTGTGAATTTTTCTTCTGGGCTAGGCCTAAGAGCAGTATTTACTTAAATCATATACTAAACCATCATCAGTCAACTCGTTTTTCAGCCATCTCTCTACCTTTGTTGGCCTCCCAATAGAACTTAGCTTTTGACATCGTCAACTGAGTTATTGAGTTATCGGCATCTGGCTGCCCTTCATAGTAGAGGCAGGTCATCAGACCTAGAATATGTAAGAGACTATTCTCTTGCTTCCATATCTGGGATGACCCAGATGCGTACACAGGTACCTCCTGCGCTTTTTGAGCAGACAAATTCTGCAAACCAAACCCCTGAGAACTCCTCTGACGCATCACTCTTTCCTTTTTAAAATGGTCTTCTAAAAATGTAGCCATTACTCCATAGTGCCACCGGGCAGAGCTCCGTTTGAAGGCAGTGGAGCCCCAAATAAAGCTGGACTGGATCCGTGAGGCTCTGCCCGTGTAACAATGACATGGCTGCCTGAAAAGATAATACCAAGTAAATTCTAAGCCTTAATTTAAACTGTGATGGAGACACGGATCTTTTGTCAAACATCCACACTGCCCTGTCCTAATGTGTACCCAGTGGAATGGCATCAGCAACGTGGGGCTTTGTGACTTTAATTATTAATAGCTATTTTAAGAACTGCAGTACCAATGTTTATTTTTGTTTGGGGACAGCAGTTTTATTTAAATCATGCTCGTCCTTTGCACATTTTCTGCCTTGGTCAGACAAAATTTAAGAAAAATCAAAATTAAGTTTTATTCTTGCTGCAGGTGGGGTTACTTAGACAGAAGTTGGACAGTCTGGAAAAATGTAACTTAGCGATGACGCAAAATTATGAAGGACAACTGCAAACCCTAAAAGCTCAAGTAAGGAAACTTATTGTAATTTAATCTCATTTGATGATTTAACACATTTTGATATATGTTTTCACATATAAAATTATATCAAATTTATGTATTTATAAGTTGTATTAATTTTATTAAAATGGATTATTTTCAATACAAGTAAAGTTCTTATATTTTAATGATGGGTTATATGTTTGACCCTGTCTTTCACTGTTTTATTAGATTGTTTCTTTTATTACACTGTCAGCTCTTTATCCCTTTAACTGTTAGCATAGTGCAAGACTATTACCTTTCTACTTATCAAGTGACTTGCTAATTAATTGTATGATAATAGTTAGCAATGTGAACAACAAAAATAACTTTGCTATTATGAAATAGATAATTGAAAGGACAAAACTGGTCTTTATTACTTTGATACTGGTAGGACTGTTTCATAAATGATAGGTCTTCTGAATAGGGATACTGATTCCTTTCTTACTTATTCCTCTACCTCCTCACTGTGCTGGCAAGCCAAACGTTTTCTCTCTCTTATCACAAATAATACATAGGGCAATCATCTGTGCATCTCAGATCTAGTGGATGTTATGTCCTTGCTTCACTTAATAAGTGAATCAATGGGAAATACAGTTTGATTATGAAATTTTTGAAGTGCAAAGATTTCATAAGTGATAATACAATTAAATGAGCCTAAAGTAGTTAATTCTTTCTTAAGTACCTTCTCAGGGAGGTCATCGGCCATTAAGATTGGATATGAAACATTTGATGCCACTTAATAAGTATAATCTTGTAAGACTAGCTAGCTCTTAAATTTAGACATTTTGCCTGCAATTCAAATAGCTGCCACTAGATGGTAGCTCGAATTATGAAACTAAACGGTTTTTCCTAAGACTCTAAGCATTTAATGCTTAACTCAATCAACCTTGTTTTTTTCTGTAATGATAAAGCTCTAAAATAGCAACATGTATATTAAATCACTGTATTGTTCGGTATAAACAGAGACACCACGATCTGGAATAAGTTTGAAAAAAATACAGAAATGGAGATACAAGTGAATTACCATCTCAAAATTATATTTAATTAGTTCAATCACTGCTTACCAGATCTTTAATCTCTGGGTTTTTTTCACGTCTGTTGTTAAAAAGTTGTGAGACTTGTTTACAGGTGCTGAGCAATCATGTAATATATGAATCCCTGCCGTTTGATGCTTTGCAGCTCTATTTTATTACTTGGCTGCTGGCTAACCAACAAATATCCTTACGGCAATTTCACAAAAATGTGTTCTGTGGAATGCTAATATTGAGAGTTTTGGAAATGCTGTTTACTTCTCTGCTCCTGGACATTTACAGTGCATATTAGCATATTACAGGCTGTGAAAAGTCTTGCTTTAAACAAATCCATTTAGCTTTTTTAATCCATCATTTTTCAAAACATATTTGACCATGGAACTCTATTTTTTTAAGCTAAAACCTGCTTATACTGTAGTACAGTATTACAGTGTAAACACTGTAAATAGCTGTTTCATAGAATGCACTTTGGAAACACTACATTGTTCTTAAGAGAGCAGCCATCTGCTTCCACTGCAGTTTTCTGCTTCTCTTCTCGTGTTAAAAGAAAGGAAGGAAGAGCGTTAGGGAAAGAGAGTGGAAGAGAAGGAAAGAGGGAAGGAGGGAAAAAGAGAGAACTGGTTTGCATAATAGCTCTTAATATGTCATTCTTCTAACCAGAAAATGCTGTCTTGTGGCAAACATGCTTTGGTTGCTGCTAGCTCACTCTACTGATTCCTTCTTTGAAATTCCTGGTTTATTTACAGTTTCATTTTCCTAAAATATCTGAAGGATACACTTTACCACACTCTTCTTTGAATAACTCAACTCCATCAGAACTTTCTCATAGAAATTGCTTCCTTTTTAAAAAGATAGCATTTTCTTTTCCTTCTAACCATTATGAAACTAGGATTAAATTGTGTATATATTTGAGATTTTCACTCCTGGAAAGATGGAATAGATGCATCAATTGAGATAGCAGATTAGAAAGCCTGGACATTATCTATAAAATGATATATGAAGACTCTGAGAGTGGAGGGAGGAAACAGGCCAACTAAGAACTTGGTACCCAAAGAGCGACATAGTGATGAGTTCCCTGGGATTTCTCTTTGCCTCTTTTATCCCAGTCTGGGTTAACAGAGAAGCTGACAACCCAGACGCTCCAAAGGGCACAAACAAACAAAAAGAATCCCAAGGAATGCCTGCTTTCTGCAGCCAAAAGACCCAGAAAAAGACAGCCTAGCAAGATTACACACTTAGATAATAACTGCTCTACTACAGCCAAACACTACAGAAAAAGACTTCAGCCCCAAACCCATCCCTCCCCTCAACACAGACTGAGTAAACAGCCTCTCTCTCACTAGCCTGTAATGAGGTAGTCCAGGCTTCCCAGCCTGGGTGGTGTGAGAGAAAACTTGAGTGGAGAGCCAGGAATTTCATGACCACCAAGTTTTAACAAGGCCCTCCCCAGCCCATGGTGTTAGTGGAGGCCATGTGGAGAGCCAGGACTAGTATGCCCATTTGGTGGTGATGAGGCAACCCCTTCCTCTCTGAATGGTATCAAGGGAAACCTAATAAGGAGTCAGGCCACTCGCCCTCACTACACTTTCACTGAAGGACATGTGAGAAGCAGTAACAAGGCACCTACGCCCCTCCAGTCAAGGTGGTATCAGTGAAGACTAGTGGGGATCCTGAACTCCCATCCCACTCAGCAGGGATAAGGAACGTCTCCCTTGGGTTACCAACTGAGGCCAAGAGCTGAACTCCCCGTCCCCTGAAGGCAGTGATGAGGCATCGTACCACTTTCCTTGCCAGAATGCCATCAGAAAAGGATGGCTGAAACACAATCCCTAAAGGAACTCTAGTGTCTCATAGCACAATACCCAAAATGTCCAGGTTTCAATAAAAAATCACTCATCACACCAGGAACCAGGAAGATCTCAACTTGAATGAGAAAAGACAACCAAGAAGTGCCAACACTGAGTGAATACAGATGTTAGAATTATCTGACAAGGATTTTAAAGCAGCTGTTATAAAAATGCTTCAGTGAGCAATTACAAACGTACCTGACACAAATGAAAGCTTTAGCAAAGAAACAAAACTATAAAGAACAACCAGTTAGAAATTTTATCTCTGGAAAATACAATAACCAAACTAAAAAAAAAAAAAATCAGTAGATGGGCTCAAAAGTAGAATGAAGAGGATGGAGGAAATAGTCAGTGAACTTAAAGATAGCAGAATAGAAATTACCCGATCTGAACAACCAAGAGAAAACAGACTAAAGAAAATGAAGGGGTGCCTGGGTGGCTCAGTTGGTTAAGCGACTGCCTTCGGCTCTGGTCATGATCCTAGAGTCCCGGGATCGAGTCCCGCATCGGGCTCCCTGCTCAGCAGGGAGTCTGCTTCTCCCTCTGACCCTTCCCCCTCTCATGTGCTCTCGCTCTCTCTCTCTTTCTCTCTCTTTCAAATAAATAAATAAATCTTTAAAAAAAAAAGAAAAGAAAAGAAAATGAAACTAAGGGACATGTATGACTATAACAAAAGATTGGAAATTTGTGTCATCAGATTCCCAGAAGGGAGAAGAGAGGGGGACTGAAAAAGTATTCAAAGAAGTAATGGCCAAAAAGTGTCAAAACTTGGTAAAAGACATAAACCTACAGAATCAAGAATCTGGGTGAAATTCACACAAGATAAATACAGAGAAACCAACAAGACACGTCGTAGGCAAAGTTCTGGAAACTAAAAGACAAAGAAAAAAATCTTGGAAGCAGCAAGGAAGACATAACACCTTACCTATAGAGAAAAATCAATTGAGATAGCAGATTTCTCATCAGAAACCATGGAGGCCAGAGGATTTGGAACACTTTTCAGTTGCTGAAAGAACATAAATGTCAACCCAGAATTCTATGCCTAGAAAAAATATCCTTAGGAATGAAGGGAAAATCAAGTCCTTCTCAAATGAAGGATAACTAAGAGAATTTGTCACCATAAACTTACCTTCAAATAATGGCTAAAGAAGATTCCTTTAGCGGAAAGGAAATGGCAAAGAAAGAATCTTGAGACATCAGGAAGAAAAAACAATGGAAAGAGTTTAAAAATGGGTAAATGTAATACTATCCTTCTCTTTGAGTTTTCTAAATTGACAGCTAAAGCAAAATTTATAACAATGTCTAATGCGGTTCTTAATGTATGTTGAGGAAATACTTAAGACAATAATATTATGAATGGGTCAGGGCAAAGGGACATAAAGAAAAGTAAGACTTCACAGGACTCCTGGGTGGCTCAGATGGTTAAGCATCTGCCTTCGGCTCAGGTCATGATCCCAGGATCCTGGGATCAAGTCCCACATCGGGCTCCCTGCTCAGCAGGGAGCCTGCCTCCCCCTCTGCCTCTCTCTCTCTCTGTCTTTTATGAATAAATAAATAAAATCTTTAAAAAAAAAAGTAAGACTTCTGCATTTCACTTGAACTGGTAAAATGTTGACACCAGTAGGCCGTAATGAGTTACGTATATATAATGTAATACCTAGAGCACCAATTGAAAAAGCTATTCAAATGGATACATTAAAAAACATAGATAAATCAAAATAGAATTCTAAATAATGCTCAAATAACCCTGAAGAAGACAGAAAAGCTAAAATAGAGAAACCAAGAACTGGAAAACAGAAAAGAACAAAAAGAGTAAGGCTTAAGCTCTAATATATCAATGATTACATTAAGGGAATTGTCTAAATACATCAGTTAAAAGATGGAGATTGACAGAGTAAATTAAGAAAATATGACCTAACAATATGTTCTGTTCCAGAAACTCACTTCAGACATAACTATATAGGTAAGTTGAAATAAAAAGGTAGAAAAAATACCATGCAAATATTAATCAAAAGAAAGCAGAAGTGGTGCCAAGATAATTCAGTGGAGAAACAATAGTCTTTTCAACAAACAGTAAAGGAACAACTGAATATCTACATGTAAAAAAATT